TTATTGAACTCAATTCCTTTCCTTAATGAATTTATTGAACTCAATTCCTTTCCTTACTGAATTTATAAATCTTCATTCCTTTCCTTACTGAATTTATTAATCTTCAATCCTTTCCTTACTGAATTTATTAATCTTCATTCCTTTCCTTACTGAATTTATTAATCTTCAATCCTTTCCTTACTGAATGTATTAAACTCAATTCCTTTCCTTATTGAATTCATTAATCTTCATTCCTTTCCTACTGAATTTATTAATCTTCAATCCTTTCCTTACTGAATGTATTAAACTCAATTCCTTTCCTTACTGAATTCATTAATCTTCATTCCTTTCCTACTGTATTTATTAATCTTCATTCCTTTCCTTACTAAATTTATTAATCTTCAAACCTTTCCTTACTGAATTTATTAAACTCAATTTCTTTCCTTACTGAATTTATTAATCTTCATTCCTTTCCTTACTGAATTTATTAAACTTCATTCCTTTCCTTACTGAATTTATTAAACTTAATTCCTTTCCTTACTGAATTTAATAATCTTCATTCCTTTCCTTGCTGAATTTATTAATCTTAATTCCTTTCCTTACTGAATGTATTAAACTCAATTCCTTTCCTTACTGAATTTATTAATCTTCATTCCTTTCCTTACTGAATTTATTAATCTTCAATCCTTTCCTTACTGAATGTATTAAACTCAATTCCTTTCCTTATTGAATTCATTAATCTTCATTCCTTTCCTACTGAATTTATTAATCTTCAATCCTTTCCTTACTGAATGTATTAAACTCAATTCCTTTCCTTACTGAATTCATTAATCTTCATTCCTTTCCTACTGTATTTATTAATCTTCATTGCTTTCCTTACTAAATTTATTAATCTTCAAACCTTTCCTTACTGAATTTATTAAACTCAATTTCTTTCCTTACTGAATTTATTAATCTTCATTCCTTTCCTTACTGAATTTATTAAACTTAATTCCTTTCCTGAATTTATTAATCTTAATTCCTTTCCTTATTGAATTTATTAATCTTCATTCCTTTCCTTACTGAATTTATTAATCTTCATTCCTTTCCTTACTGAATTTATTAAACTTCTCACTGAATTTATTAAACTTAATTCCTTTACTAAATTATTAAACTTCATTCCTTTCCTTACTGAATTTATTTAACTGCATTCCTTTCCTTAAAACTTCATTGTTTTCCTAACTGAAATTATTAAACTTCATTCCTTTCCTTCCTGATAGTATTAAACTGTTTTCTTTTTCTTACAAGATTTATAAAAATTCACTACTTTTCTTACTGAATTTGCATTAAGTATTGTCACTTTGAACATTATGAGGGTTTTTTTCATGAGGTCAATGTCAACTTTAACACACTTTTTGACATTGATCGACGCTTGTCCATTTGGAAAAAGCAAAGATTGAACACAACGAAGCAGGAAACAATTCTTATTTCTAGTAATTTAAAACTTGTGTTTGAAGCCAGTTACAGTAAATGGATGAAGAATGTAAAGTAAAACCAATGAGGAATCTTTCCCATCGATCAATTAATTGTTGGAATCAGTACTTTATGTGATTTAAAGATAGAGAGAGAGAGAAATGGTGTTTAACGTCTACTCGATACAAACTAGGTCATTTCGGGACTAACATATGGTTTAATTTTATTTCAATAATTCACTTGCGTGTAGGGGTCTTTAGCAGTGGGAGGAAACTGGAGAACCCAGAGAAAACCCACGAGGTTGGACAGGCGACCCTACTCCTTGTCACGAAGAGCTGGGGATTCGAAACCATGCCAGTTGACTCAATGACAGGCTTTATGATACCGCGTACATGCTAACCATTTGGCCATCCAACCCCCCTTGATTTAAAGATACTTTCCCGCGTACAAATTGTGTGATTTGATGATATAATTGGACTAAAAACATATTCAAACTAATTAATCTATCAAAAATTTGCTTCAAATCCCTCTCAAAATGTTGTATTCGCCGGTAGATACGTGTACCTACACATGTATAGATATAAATAAACTGCTGTTAGATGCCATGTCTGTCAGCTTACTTCTTTGTGGGAGGGTCCATTTTTCAGTATATATTTTTCATTACTTACTATCCATTTACCATACATATTGAGGCCTAAGTAAATTCCTAATTATTTTCTGTCAACTTCTTTTTCCGTCGTTTAATTGCAGAGTCTGTTGTACTTTGACACCCCACAATGTTCCCAAAACCGCCTAACCATTTGATCAAGAAATAACATCCGTTCCCTCAGTCAAGCTAGCACACAATAAATTAACAGAAAACACTCGGGTTACCAGTTAGTGATACCCTGACATTTTTGCCCAGTGCTTGCCCCATGGGTTTTTTACAGGTAGTCAAGTATTTTTCTAGTAAGATTGTGTGTCTATACTTTCCACATTTGCCGTACTTTTATTGGAAATAACCACCCGATAAATATTTTTTCTGATAATGTATCTTTAAACCTCCTACGTGTCTATAGCAAAGAATTTCAATGCTGTTTTCAAGCAAGGATTAAATTCAATAACAATAATATGTAAATTGACACCATGCACAGTTCCATGCCAGTATGCATGCTCAAGGCGCTACAAAATCTAGGTGCCAGAATAGACCGTAAACAGATGAGATTTTAATTTAGTTGTAAATGTTTCTAGACTGGATGATACTGTACATGTAGTTTAAAGATCAGGGGTAACAAATTCAACAGAACACGCATTTCACATATTTAATTTAAACATTCATAATCTGACAAGTCAACTGGCGTGGTTTCGATTCCCCGGCTGTACGTGACAAGGAGTAGGGCCGGCTGTCCAACCTCGTGGGTTTTCTCTGGGTCCTCCGGTTTCCTCTCACTGCTAAAGACCCCTACGCGCAAGTGAATTATTGAAATAAAAATTGAACTATATGTTAGTCCCTAAATGACCTAGTTTGTGTTGAGTGGTCGTTAAACCCCATCTCTCTCTCTCTTTCATAATTTGACAACCAATACATCTATTTTCTGCAATAGCGAGAGAGAGAGAGAGGGAGAGAGAGAGAGAAATGGGGTTTAACATCCACTCGACACAGGCTAGGTCATTTCGGGACTAATAAATGGTTTAATTTTATTTCAATAATTTGCTTATTAGGGGTCTTTAGCAGTGGGAGGAAACCGGAGGACCCGGAGAAAACCCACGAGGTTGAACAGGTCACCCTACTCTTTGTTCCTTGTCACGTACAACCAGGGATTCGAAACCACACCAGTTGACTCAATGACAGGCCTTATGATACAGCGTGCACATGCTAACCATTCGGCCATCCAACCCCCCTTCTTCAATAGCACCTTCATGTTAAATTTCAAAGTAGTTAAATGTTTAAAATATATGCAGAATCATGATAAAATACTGACAAAGCAATTCATTGTTTATTATCAGGATTCACTTATCACACCGATAAGAAAAAAAACCTACATGTATAAACTAAATAAGAATTTGTATCTCGTGGCCGGAAGCTACAGGCACATGTATATATCCTTTTTCTTATTCACTGAACTCGTGAAACCACCTTGTCAAAGATAATCAAATTCTAATATAAGAACGTCACTTCACCCGAGTTCTATTTTCGAGAAACAAGTCAGACACTTCCATCAGCGCCTAATAGACCATTTTTTCTCAACTTTCTATTTTTAGCTTCAAGTGTCAAAGGTGTCAGTTGGTATTCATTGCCTTAATAATGATTTCTCTGACTCTAAGATTGTGTCAAATGTAAAATAAAAAAATGCAACAGAATTTAATGGCCAGAATAACCAATGTTTTTAATGTCGATGGATCTCAATGATACGTCCGAAGAACAGGAACAAATCCTAGATATATTAGTTCGCTTAGACATTAAAAATGCATCAAAATTTAATGGCTGGTATAACCAATATTTTTAATGTCTAAGCAAACTAATATATCTAAAATTGGTTCCTGTTCTTCGGACGCATCATTGAGATCCATCGACATTAAAAATATTGGTTATACCGGCCATTAAATTCTGTTGCATTTTTTTTTTATATTTGATACAAGTCAGAGAAATTGTTATCAAGGCAATAAATACCAACTCGCACCTTTGACACTTGAGGCTAAAAATAGAAAGTTCAGAAAAAATGGTCTATTAGGTGCTGATGGAAGTGACTGACTTGTTTCTGGAAAATAGAACTCGGGTGAAGTGATGTTCTTATATTAGAATTTGATTATCTTTGACAAGATGGTTGATTGGAGAGAGAGAGAGAAATGGGGTTTAACGTCCACTCGACACAGACTAGGTCATTTCGGGACTAACATATGGTTTAATTTTATTTCAATAATTCGATTGTGTGTAGGGGTCTTTAACAGTGGGAGGAAACCGGAGGATCCGGTGAAAACCCACGAGGTTGGACAGGCAACCCTACTCCTTATCACGTACAACCAGGGATTTGAAACCACGCCAGTTGACTCAATGACAGGCCTTATGATACAGCGCGCACATGCTAACCATTCGGCCATCCAACCCCCCAAATGGATTTGAACTATTTAGTAGTTAGCAAAGTATTCAAAATCCCTCAGATGACATGGGGGTCACGATGGCTAAGTGGGTAAGACGCTGGCTCGCTAGCCTGGAGGTCGGGTTTTCGATCCTTGCATTGGCCAAGAGAGTTCATCTAGATTTTCCGGCGTTGTTCCCCCTTGTCAGTGATACAGGACGGAGGGGCTGACAAGGAAAGCTGTCTAGTCGTTTGGATGGGATGAAAAACCGAGGTCCCGTGTACACATTGCCATGTACGTAAAAGATCCCTTGACAGTTGGAATTCGATATATGAGTAGGCCGTAGTGCCTCTGGCCAGGCAAAATTTTCCTCAAAGCACACTGTATGGCGTATGCCCGTTTTCATTAGCCCAGTTCGGACCAGAACAGTAGGACATTAAACCCCATTTCATTTCATTACATTTCTCACATGACATAAAAGAAAGGTAGAAATTATATTTCATCATACTTACTTCAAAATAGAACGGGTAAGCGTTTGGTCCAAGTTTTTTTATGAGTCGTTCTTGAAGCCGTGTTAAAGGTTTCTGTTGTTCTTTAACTTGTGGGAAAACCTGCATTGTCGATAAATACAAATCTTTACGGAACGTAAGACCCAACACGTCCAAATCTTCTCGTCCATATCGAAACGCTGCTAAAACATGAACAAAGACTTTCCTGTCTTTTAAATATTCAGGATCCACTAAAACTACCCCATCTGAAAAATATAACATACAGTAGCGATATATATTTATTTCTTATCTGAGGTGGTTAGAGAGAGAGAGAGAGAGAGAGAGAGAGAGAGGTTTAATGTCGACTCCACATAATTTAGGTCATTTCGGGACTAACATATGGTTTTATTTTATTTCAATAATTAGCTGATGCGTAGGGGTCTTTAGCAGTGAGAGGAATTCGGAGGACACAGAGAAAACCCACAAGGTTGGACAGGCGACCCTACTCCTGGTCACAAACAAATGGGGAATAGATGAATGATGTAGCGCGCACGCACTAACCATTCGGCCATCCAACCACCCGCTGAGGCAGTTGGTGAATAGGGAGCTAGCCAACTAACCATAAGGTCCCAGGTCTGATCCAGATGTTGACTGATAAAGTACCTCAAGATTTTTATCTGGTCAGTGATGCATGATGGAGGTCCCACCAAGGAACGCGTGTGTGCGTTGTATCAAAAGATCTGTCATTGAATCAAATGGCATGGTTTTGATTCTGTGGTTGAACGTGACAAGGAATAGGGTCGCCTGTCCATCCTCATGGGTTTTCTCCGGGTCCTCTGGTTTCATTCCACTGCTAAAGACCCCTATGCGCAAGCGAATTATTGAAATAAAATTAAACCATATGTTAGTCCTGAAATGACATAGTTTGTTGTCAAGTGGACCTTAAACCCCATTTCTCTCTCTCTCTCTCATCTTGTGCGGCATATTTGTAGATCTGTCTTTTTTCCACGAAGACAATGTAGGGTACAAATCCTCCATTTTATCCGGCATAGATTTGTTTTTTTTCCACGTTTTTATCAATATTTTTAATACACATCCATCACAAACTAAATATGTCCGGTCGAACTTCAATAGTGCCGGACATTTTGTCAGATACAACAAGACATTTTATTTCCAGAACTGCAGATTGTCCAGTTCAAACAAAAGATAAATAGAAATTGGGTCTAACATCCACTCGATACAAACTAAGTCATTTTGGGACTGACATATCATTCAACTTTATTTCAATAATTTGCTTGCGCATAGGGATCTTTAGTTGTTAGAGGAAACCAGAGAAAAACCCATCAGGTTGGAAAGGCAAGCCTACTCCTTCACATGTACAATCTGGGAATTCAAAAATTCAAAACCATGCCAAGTAACTTGATAAGACCTTATGATCTAAAATGCACATGTTCGACCATTCAACCATCTGTGTTTTACTTCTCATGTAGTAAGGAGAAAACCTTGCACTATCTATTATTCTATAAAACATTAGTCACATATTGCAGTATTATACATGTACTTTCAAATCAACAATTTGTTCATACAGACAGAAGACAGACACATTGGTTATTTCAGCAGGTCAGTTTTTATCATTACACGATCTGCTATATGTTGCAATTACCACCTAACTACCATAATCATTTGTTTAGTTCTCTGATCTTTACCTAAACATTTACAGATTTGGATGTGAGTTTAGATGCAAATTTAAACAACGTATAACATCTTTTCCTTCTCAAATGTCTATTATATTTTTACATGTAAACGCCTCTGGCAATCTTATGTTTCCAGAAACTCTGACATTCAATAAATAATCTGCTTCACAATGCATAAATATTTCAATATAATAAACATTTATAGAGAGAGAGAGAGAGAGAGAGAAATGGGGTTTAACATCCACTCGACACAAACTAGGTCATTTCGGGACTAACATATGGTTTAATTTTATTTCAATAATTCGCTTGCGCGTAGGGGTCTTTAGCACTGGGAGGAAACCAGAGGACCCGGAGAAAACCCACAAGGTTGGACAGACGACCCCACTCCTTGTCACGTACAACCGGGGATTCGAAACCATGCCAGTTGACTCAATGACAGGTCGTATGATACAGCACACACATGCTAACCATTCGGCCATCCAACCCCCCTAATATTAATAGAGAAATTCAGTAGAATCATTTCCGAACATATGTACGAGGCTTGTGATAGATTTCCGCATAATTTCTGTCAGATAAAGTTATTATTAGTCCAAAATACGAGTTGCAGGACAGATTTCCGTAGAATATCTGTCAAATAAAGTTATCATATTCGTCCCAAGTATGACATTTAAGAAAAAGAGTTTCCCAAACTAAGATTGAAAGTCCTCAAAATAAATCACAATTTAAAAGATGGCCATAAATCGATAATTGATAATATATAACATTTTACTGTCAGAGCACGGCCAAAACAAGAAAACCTACGCACAATTTATGAGCTTCATTCGAAGGATTGGGAAATTAATCAGCCATTTACTAGAAAAAAGTGAAGCAAAGAGGACATAAAAATATCCGTATTTTGAGAGAGTGGAGTATACAGAAATAACAGCATGTCCTTCTCCACAGAACCATTTTAAAAATCAATATTGCGACTTAGAAAGCAATTGTTGGCGAAACAATGTCAAGTTATGTTTATAACATCAGTTAACCATTCGGAAAAAAAACCCATCTTGATGCTTTCTATTTCGTTTCACTAAGAGAAAGAGGGTTTAAGTCCACTTGACACAAACTATGCTTTTTGGGACTAAGATACATGTACATGTACGTGTGCATTGTACGGTTTGTTTCACTAAGAGAGGGTTTAAAGTCCACTTGACACAGACTATGCTTTTTTGGGACTAAGATACAAGCATGGTTCATTTTTATTTTAATAACAGGATTGTGCAAAGGGGTCTATAGCCGTTGGAGGACCCCGGAGGACCCAGAGAAAACCCATAAGGTTATGATGTGCAGATGTAACATATCTTGCCGATCACTTTGTGCAATATTTTGGGCGATATTAACAAAAACACGTTATTGTTTGTTCTTGTCAGTGGGAGCCACAGTGGCTAAGTGGGTAAGGCGCTGGCTTGCTAGCCTGGAGTTTGGGTGTTCGATCTCTGCATTGGGCGAGAGAAAGTTCATCCAGATTTTCAGACGTTTTTTCCAATTGTCAGTGGTGCATGACGCAGGGCCTGATAAGGACAGCTGTCTAGTTGTTTGGATGGAACAAAAAACCAAGATCCTGTGTATACATTAAAATGCATGTAAAAGTCCCTTGGTAGTTGGTATTCGATATAATAGTAGGCCATCGTGCCACTGCCTTGGCAAACTCTCCCTCGTACTCTCATAGCACATTGTATGGCATATGCTTGTCTTCACTGGCCCACTCGGAGCAGAACAGTAGGACGTTAAACCCCATTTCATTTCATTTTGTTCTTGTCAGTACCAGTACCAGTGGGACCCATAGAAGTGTACAACGTACATGTTACAAGATGTCAGCAAATACTAAATAGTATCTGGCATCCCAATCATTGTTAAGCCGTAAACCAAATTCCAATTACATTTAGGTGAAAGAGAAAGACTGAGAGAAATGGGGTTTAACGTCCACTCGACACAAACTAGGTCATTTCAAAACTCATTTCAATAATTGGCTTGCACATAGGGGTCTTTAGCAGTGGGAGGAAACCAGACGACCTGGAGAAAACCCACGAGGTTGGACAGGCGACCCTACTCCTTGTCACATACAACGGGGGAATCAAAACCACACCAGTTGACTCAATGACAGACCATATGATACCGCGCCCATGTGCTAACCATTTGGCCATCCAACCCTCCAATACAGGTATACTAGCATCTTTTATATCTATATTAATGTAGTAACTTACCTATAGGATCTGTGTGCGATAAATGGTCTACAAAATCTCTTTTTCCTAAATATGTTGTAATCTGAAATATAAAAATACACACAAATGTAGCCTCTGTTATCAAGGCTGGCAATACATTTACCAGTACCATTATGACCAATTTCCAGGTCATATGTTATTTTATTATTTTTTAATTCTGTTTTTTTATTTATAATCTATATTTTAATATTCATTAAGGATTGGTTAGTCATTAGAAGCAGATAGCAATTAATCCGTCATTCAGTTTAAATTATGACAGACTGGCAACTAAACTGTTTGTTCTGATAAGTTTCTTTAACTATTGTTTTATATGTCTTAAATATATTTTTCACTTTAGTTCCCATAGACGGCTTCATTCTGACCTTTATTTCATATACATTGACAGAAAACTATAGCAGTTAGAATAAAACTGAAATAATGTCGACAGCCATCTTTGATGACGTCATAGGCGATAACCTACATGTACATGTACCACGTGGTGAGTGTCCAGCCAAGTCCAAAATACTGACTAAGCCACCTACTATTACTAAACACTTCTTCAAAAAATATTCCCTACAGAACCATAGTCAGATCCCAGGACTATTAAGACTTAATCCTTCAATAATTATATGTTTATGTAACACCTTTAATAGTAACTTATTTATATAAAAAGAGAAATGTATGTAAAATGAATCATTAGTTTGAGAGACAAGCTTAGGGAACCTGTATACTAGTTGGAGGACCGATGTATACAATGTACATGTAGGAAGTTAAAAGTTAATTAAAGATACATTATGTAAGATTTAGATAAAGAGCTAGCCATTCTTGCTATAATAGTTCGAAGTAGATGATGTAAAATGAATAATTTTAAAATTTCATTCAAATTACTCTATTGCAAGCGAAGATATTAGCCTTTGAAGGTTTGACAGACGTGTGCAATAATTTCAACCACCGTACTGGTTGATCGAATCTTAGTCGGAGAAATCTGATGCCATCGAGAGTTGATTAATGCCTATATAAGTTAATTAATGTCTAATTAATACTTTAGAAAACATTTCAGGCCTAAAGAAAGACCTGCAATAGGCAGATTTAGCTCTTGCATAATGCATGTTTAAGTGTTGCTGTTATTTGGTCATGAAATAAAGTGTTGAAGATTCATTCTGATACTTAGAGAACACTGGTCAACGAGCTCTGTCCATGGGGGTTGGGACATGCACGAAAATCAATAGTTGTCGTCCGTGGGCTATAAGGAATATGTATATGCCAAGTTCTGAGACTATCCATTATGGCATTAAGAATTGTGACATGTAGGCAACACACAGACACGCAGAGAATAAATGGGTGTGGCTCTGTTTCAGTATATTACTGAATGTCTCACGCTCGATCATTAAACTACACATAATAGGAAATGAAATGAAATGGGGTTTAACGTCCTACTGTTCTGCTCCTATACTGGGCTAATGAAGACGGGCATATGCCATACAGTGTGCTATGAGGGAAATTTTGCCCGGGCAGCAGCACTATCGCCTACTCTTATATCGATTTCCAACTGCCAAGGGATCTTTTACGTGCATTCCAATGTATACGTGGGACCTCGGTTTTTGTCTCATCCGAAGGACTAGATAGCTGTCCTTGTCAGGCCCTCCTTCCTGCATCACTGACAATGGGAAACCATGCCGGAAAATCGGGATGAACTTTCTCGGCCAATGCAGGGATTGAACACCCGACCTCCAATACAGAATAGGGAATGCTTTCGGGTGGGTGTAGTGTTGTTGTGTTAGGCGCCTTTAGTTGCCCAGTAAATGTTTCTTTGGGTTTGAAAATTATCAAAATAGCTTGATGGCAACCACGTACGTGACCGACAGTTACGGAGCAAAATGATAACAGATCACGATTGACATCAGTACAGAGCTAATTATTTGGGGAAATGAAATACGCAATTGGGAGAGCGGTTTCGGGGTACTGACCTAGATTGGGATTTAGTGGTGCTCGAGATCGACACAGCACATCAAACATAAAGACCTGACCACTTTCATTAGCCCAGTTGGTGCGAAGAAGTAGGATGTTAAACATACATTATGCAAGAGCTAAATCTGCCTTTTGCAGGTCTTTCTTTAGGCCTGAAATGTTTTCTAAAGTATTAATTAGACATTAATTAACTGATCCAGGCCTTAAAACTCTCGATGGCATCAGATTTCTCCGATATTAAATAGATTAGAATGGTTCAGCGATACTTTGATTTAATCAAATATGGAGGACCAAGACTTAGCTTCGATCAACCAGTACGGTGGTTGAAATTATTGCACACGTCTGTCAAACCTTCATAGGCTAATACATGTATCTTCGCTTGCAATAGAGTAATTTGAATGAAATTTTCAAATTATTCATTTTACATCATCTACTTTCGAACGATTATAGCAAGAATGGCTAGTTCTTTATCTAAATCTTACATAATGTATCTTTAAACAACATTCTATTTATTGAATTTTCACCAATGTATACACAACTGCAAATTTGTGTAAAGCAAACTGTTTCATTACTACATGTACAAGTATGTGTGGCCCTGTGGCATTTAGATAAAATGTGATAAATAAATTATTTATATGGTTGCTACCGAGATTAACTTTATGAAATGTATTTTTGGTGCCAGACTATCTGTAATCTGGGGAATAATTCCATTAACAGGACTACATGTACATACATGTATTCTACAGTTATTTCAACCAGAGGTATATATTATTCTATTTGCACAAATAAATATTGTGGAAGAAAGAGGTACAGAGGGAGGAAGAAAAGGTGAATGCCAGTTAACTCGTTCACATGAAAAGTCTACTTAAGTCGTCCACATGTCATTCATTGGTTGAGTCATCCACATCATATTGGTTGATTCGTCCACACACCCATGGCAACTAAGTTTCTTACTGGGCCCCCAAAATTCTCCGAAAGGTACATGTACATGTAGCTCATGAGGTGAATGCCTTATAAATACAATGCATGACACTGCAGTTTAGCCGAAAACCGTTTAAAGATAAATTTGATAATTCCGTAAATATACAAGTGATTATTCATAGGGAGTAGATCCAGTCATAGGCCATGTGGCAAATAAAGATGATCTAAGCAATTCACACATTTACCGGTGATTCTGATAAATAAACTTGCTGGTTTTTCATGACACAGCCAATATCCCAAACTAGCACAGAAATACGAATGGTGCCATTCACTTGGCGATATATTCATTATTAGCTACTGTATATATCAATATCAAAGATACATTATGGGAGATTAGATCAAGAGCTTCCAGTTCTCACTATAATAGTTAAAAACTGGATAATGTAAAGCGAATTTACTGAAAATTTCAGTCAAATTGATCCACTCTGAACCAAGATTTTAGCGATTGAATTTTCAGCCTAGCCTCGATCGTCATTACTAAAGTCGGTACGATAAAAAACATAGTCTCGATTATCCATTTCATGATTAAATCAAGAATGAACGTGGAGCAGCAAATGGTATCCTAATCTAGTAAACATCGCAGGCTAGCATTGACATCGAGGGTTGATTAAGGTTTGGATAAGTTAATTAATGTCTAACTAATAATTTAGATAATATTTCAGGCCTAAAGAAAGACCTGAAATATGAAGATTTAACTTTTGCATAATGTATATATTAATAATATTCACCATTTATATATTCTTTGATTGGCATTTAATAATTGAAAATATTAACACAAGGTACAATTTTTATGAATACACAATTACTGAATTTAATACTAAGCGCGGTTTCCATGAGGATACTCTCGTCTTTATCATTTGCTTATATACACAAAGAAAACACATGATACCTTTTAGTGAGTGATTAGACTGTCAATGTTATTGTAAAAAAAAAATACCTTTTTATATAGATGATAAACGACATCATTAATAATCTTATCACAAACGTTTATCCATCAAATAATTTATATCAAGTCAATTAAATATTATCTAACTAATAATGGATGGCGTGGCGCGGCTAATCTTTGATTTGCAATCATTATGCCCAAGATCATAACGCTGATCAACTAACAATACAGGGCTACTTTATTACAAAAACATCGATAAACAAATCAAGTTTGTTGATTATTGGGTAAATAAAACAATTTTAAAACAACCTATGAGTAAAACTTATTTATTCCATACAATTTACATGAGTATGGGTCAACCATTAGTTGTGGACGACAAAGATGTACATGTAACCAATACCTTGTGGACAACTTAACCAATACCTTGTGAACAACTTAACCAATACCTTGTGGACAACACCAGTTACACAACCAATACCTGTAGGTACATGTACATGGCGCAAAAATTCTCTTTAATTCTTTGAAAAAAAATTCTTTATCCTTCGACTATGACTAAAGCTATTATATTCCTCATTTGGATTGGGGGTGAGGGTAGTGTCAGCTGTGAGGAAGGATATATTTTCATCACTTTATAAAGAAAAAATATTTCATCTACATGTATTTTTCTACTTTGGTGTGAAGAAGCATACTTTCTGACCTTAGTTGTTCAGTGAGGAAGAAAAGTAAGGGTCACAGGAGCAGGTATGTGAGGACGAACAGAGGGCATATTGAGGAAAAAAGTGTATTTATAAAATTATGGGAGATTAGATAAAGAGCTGGCAGTTCTCACTAACAGTTAAAATCTAGATAATGTAAAGGGAATATGCTGAAAATTTCAGTCAGTTTGCTCGATTATCCATTATTGCATTAAATCATCAATGAGCATTGAGCAGCAAATCAGTGACAATCGGGCACATACATGTACATGTAAGATGCCATCGAGAGTTGATTACGGTCTTGTTTTGTTAATTAATAAATTAATAACATTTCAGACCTAAAGAAAGACCTGTAATAGGCAGAGTTAGCTCTTGCATAATGTATGTTTAATATTTATAAAGTTTGTTAAAATATCAATTTTGAGTGTCCAGTAAAACTATATATAATGCATTATTACTGTACAGCAGTGTGGTTTTGCAGAATAAAAAGATGGTTAAGTGAGACAGCATACAACCGTTGACAGAGACTAGTCATAGACACTTAGAAGGACTCAAACTACATGTTTGAACTTATCAGTGGATACTCAATTGGGATCACCTGTTTTTTGACATTTTCTTGTTATTTTATTATTTTTTAATTCTGTTTTTTTATTTAAAATCTATATTTTAATATTCATTAAGGATTGGTTAGTCATTAGAAGCAGATAGCAATTAATCCGTCATTCAGTTTAAATTATGACAGACTGGCAACTAAACTGTTTGTTCTGATAAGTTTCTTTAATTATTGTTTTATATGTCTTAAATATATTTTTCACTTTAGTTCCCATAGACGGCTTCATTCTGACCTTTATTTCATATACATTGACAGAAAACTATAGCAGTTAGAATAAAACTGAAATAATGTCGACAGCCATCTTTGATGACGTCATAGCCGATAACCTACATGTACCACGTGTGCCGTTTAAAACTTCGTGGCACACTTAGAAAGATCTTGCGGCACACTGGTTGAGAATCACTTCTGTACAGAGTCAGTTTTAACACTTAAAATCTGCTGATCGCCATTTCATTTTTTCGGACAGACGATATCTCAGTTTTCATGTCTTAATCTATGATAACATGTTTTAACTGAATGTATCACAACTCCTCCCAATCTGATAAAAAATACTGTCCAACTATGCAAAAGATAGGTTGCCAGGCAATAAAACAAATGCCCACAGCAGCTAAATCGTCCGGGCAGTCAACAAAAGTTGTCACATATTTTTACTTTTTCAGTAATGGAACATTCATAATACACTAAAATCTCATTAAGAGTAACAACTTATTAAGTAATTATCAGAAAACCATTAGAACTTGTTTTGTTTTTATAAAGTTCTGCCCCATGCTAACGTTTAGTATACAAAAAATATTTAATATCATGGATTTAGCTGTTCAAGTTATCAAAATTTATTAAAAATCAATATACTTGTTCATCTCTAGACCTTAAACTCTGTGTATCAATCTGAAGTCAACTGGATGATAACTTTAGCCTCTAGAGCGTCTACAAGATTTTTTGGAGTGATCAAGGGCCATAACTCTTGCAGTAATTATAGGAAATCGCTGAAATTCAATAGGCTTCTTCATCTCATGACCTTAAACACTGTGTAAACATTTAAAGTCAATCGGATATTAATTTTAGCTTCTAGAGCATCCACAAGATTTTTTGAAGTGGTCAAGGGCCATAACTCTGGCAGTAATTTAAAATTATCGGATATCGCTGAAAATCAATAGGATTCTTCGTCTCATGACCATAAAGACTGTGTATAAATTTAAAGTCAATCAGATATAATAACATTAGCCTCTAGAGCGTCCACAAGCAATTGCTTGTGAACGCCGGACCGACAGACGGACGGACGGGGGGGTGACGCCAATATGTGGGCGTATAAAAATAACTTCACTTTACTATTGCATAGCCAGCATAGGGTATTAGCGATCGACATGCTGGGAGCTATGCTGCACGAATTACAGCCATGCCAAAATAGATAATGATGGGACCCCTGAGGCTTCAATGGCTCTGGAGCGACGTACCGGTTGCACAACCCTCTACTTGGGACTGGTACATGTACAGTGTACATGTACATGTACATCAACATATACCACTACAACAAAATAATTTTGACTTTTTCTGCAGCAATGAAATGAAATGGGGTTTAACGCCCTACTGTTCTGCTACAACTGGGCTAATGGAGATGGGAATATGCCATACAATGTGCTATGAGGGAAATTTTGTCCAAACAGCTGCGCTACAGCACACTCTTATATCGAATTCCAACTGTCAAGGGATCTTTTACGTGCATGCCAATGTATACACAGGACCTCAGTTTTCCATCTCATCCGAGTGACTAGACAATTGTCCTTGTCAGGTCCTCCTGATGAACGCAGCTACATGTAATATTTGCTTCAGCTTTTATTACAGCATGGCTATTTGTGTTAAAATTCATTCCTACCTTTCCATTTGGACTACTCTTCTTGAAAACTCTGAAAAATACAAAATATTAAAAAGAATTAGTGATCAGCATTGTTAATCTCAATAATACACATGATACATTAAAAGATACATGTACATTCCCTTCAAGTTAATCTCGATGATACACATGGTACATTTTAAGATACATGTATGTTTGCTCCAAGTTAATCTTAATGATACACATGGTACATGTATATTTCAAGATACACATTCCCTCCAGGTTAATCCCAATGATACACATGGTATGTACGTCCTCATAAAGTTAATCTCAATGATACACATGGTACATGTATGTACATGTACGTCCTCATAAAGTTAATTTCAATGATACACATGGTATGTATGTCCTCATAAAGTTAATCTCAAGGATACACAAGGTATGTATGTCCTCACAAAGTTAATCTCAATGATACACCTGGTATGTACATGTACATGTATGTCCTCACAAAGTTAATCTCAATGATACACATGGTATGTATGTCCTCATAAAGTTAATCTCAATGATACACATGGTACATTTAAAGATACATGTACATGTACATGTATGTTCCCTCCAAGTTAATCTCAATGATACACAATACATGTTGACTACATATAAAGATACATGTATGTCCCCTCAATGCTAATTATATGCTAATTATATGTACATGTGTACATGTAAATGATCTAATGCAAACCTGAAAACATATTTCAATCTATAAATGTGACATTTCTTATAATCTAGAAAAAAAAATATATAATTATAAACCGAAGTGCTTAATAAACCCACAATAAATACTGTACACTATGAAAGAATTTCTTCAATATCGACTGTAAGTCTGGCAGACATCTTCAGGTTGCAAGCACACTTGAAGCAGTGTGCAAGTAGAATATACATGTTAGGGACTTCAAGTGATAGGACAAATGTAGTTTAAGAGAGTTTTAAGTTCACTTTGTAGAGAGATAGAGAGAGAGAGATGGGGTTTAACCTCCACTTGACACAAACTAGGTCATTTCGGGGCTAACACATGGTTCAATTTTATTTCAATAATTCGCTTGCGCATAGGGGTCTTTAGCAGTGGGCGGTTGGACAGGCAACCCTACTACTTGTCATGTACAACCGGGGAATCGAAACCCCACCAGTTGACTCAGTGACAGACCTTATGATACAGCGCGCACGCTAACCATTCGGCCATCCAACCCTCCAAGTTCACTTTATAACCATCAGTTAATTGATCAAGTCCTGTCTGACCAATCATCCAAGGAAAGTAAGCTCATGGTAACTTCCATCCAGCTTCACTAAGCTAAGAAGAGCTGTAAATGTACATATTCCACATGGCAGCATTTCTGTTGAAACAATGGCTCAAATCTGTATCACACATGGCTTACACTCCTCTTTCAAACCACAGGTTAAGAAAACCATTTAATCAGGTCAAGACTGGAGCTGTCAACGCTCATTTAAGACAGTGATTATAAAGTCAATAAGTCACAGCCAGGGTATCAGGTTTCTTGTGAGTAATACATGTAAGTAAACCAGGAAATAATTCCAAGACTGCAACCACATATTAACTCCTTCGTAAAAGTTAAGTAGTGGTTGGAAGAATCTCTAGAAGAGTGAGAGAGAAATGTGGTTTAACGTCTACTCGACACAAACCAGGTCATTTCGGGACTAACATATGGTTTTTAATTTTATTTCAATAATTCGCTTGCGTGTAGGGGTTTTTAGCAGTGGGAAGCAACCGGAGGACCCAGAGAAAACCCACAAGGTTGGACAGGCGGGGATTCGTAACCACGCCAGTTGACTCAATGGTTCAATTCCTTTCAGTATTTACACTTCACTTTTTTTTGTAATTTCTCTCGTGTGGTTTCTCTTTCTTGACAAAATCTGTGGACAAAACAGGTCATCATCATCCTTCACCCTAGTAAACATCTTTCACCCTAGTAAACATCCTTCACCCTAGTAAATATCCTTCACCTTCACCCTAGTAAACATCCTTCACCCTAGTAAACATCCTTCACCTTAGTAAACATCCTTCACCCTAGTATACCTAAAACTAAGTCAAATCTGTTTCCATGGAAATACAAATTATAAAACCTGAGAAATTTCTAATCAGTAAAAGACACAACTACCATAATACAAAAGTAGTTTGATGTATGTACAAAGTTTGATAAAGATGTCTTGAACAATTTCTGAGATATACTCCTGAAACAACATCATGATAGAAGGATGGGCATTTCTATATTCCTCTTATAACTGATAATTTACCTGTTTCATAAATGTTTAACGTTGATTATTTAAAAGTGGTTAAAGTCCCTGAGTGTGATTTGAATGATATAGGAATCCCTTGCAAAGTAAAATATTGTAAAAGTTGAATTTCTAATATCAGTAATATCAGTCCAGAGTTGGTTCAATTCCATTCAGTATTTACACTTCGCTTTTTGTTGTAATTTCCACAAAATCTGTGGACAAAACAGGTCTACGTTTCTTTCCAGTAGAACTTTCTGCCATTTTGCAATCAATGGTAGGATGATGGCCAATTACAAGTCTGTTTTTTGGCAGATGACGTCATAATATGATACATGTATTATAGCACCCTCATCACCATCATGTATTAGCAAAATCTAATTGATGGGCCTATTTTTAATCAGATTAAATCCAAGCTGGGATTATCTAGCGTTGATATTTTGATTTGGTTTGCTTAATTAAATGTTAAATAATCAATCTGAGCATGGATTAAACCATCAGATATGTGTTATTTTCTGACAAACGGCAAATCATGATTCATATACTGTTACTTTAAACATACATTATGACGTCTCATTAATAATGATGTCATAATATATGATTACTGGAAACAGGAAAAGGGTACGGCAACACTCCCTTAGAGAGTAATTAAAGATGGACAGGCTGATACATCTACGTGGAGACTGGATCAAAAGATGATACCGGCGGGGCGGAGTAGTAAAATAAAATTAAAGAACCCCCGCACAACAGAATACACAACAGACTTGTAGAAGTAGAAGATTGTTTAATGGGTCGACGTTTCGGGTGCAATATTGTTGATAAAGGGTATTGCACCCGAAACATCGACCCATTAAACAATCTTCTACTTCTACAAGTCTGTTGTGTATTCTGTTGAGCGGGGGTTCTTTAATTTTATAATATATGATTAATACAATGATGTCACATTAATAATGATGTCATTGTATTAATCATATTAAAATTACATTATACAAGAGCTAAATCTGTCTATTGCAGGTCTTTCTTTAAAAGGCCTGAAATGTTATCTAAATTATTAATTAGACATTAATTAACTTATCCAGACCATAATCAACTCTCGATCTCATCGCTAGCCTGCGATATTTACTGGATTAGGATCCGATTTGCTGCTCAACTTTCATTCATGAATAAATCATGAATAAATCATGAATTGGACAATCGAGACTATGTTTTTTATTGTACCGACTTTACTAATGATGATCGAGGCTAGACCGAAAATTCAATCGCTACATTCTCGGTTCAGATTGGATCAATTTGACTGAAATTTTCAGCGAATATCCTTTACATTATCTAGTTTTTAACTATTATAGTGAGAGCTGCCAGCTCTTTATCTAATCTCCCATAATGTATCTTTAACATGTCGCAACCAAGACATCTTCCACTGAATTTAGTCTCATGGATAGAACGGGATGTATTAGATCTCATATACAGGTACATGTAGGTGGCTCAGCGATTAAGGCGCTGGCTTACTAATCACAGGTACATGTAGGTGGGTCAGCGATTAAGGCGCTGGCTTACTAATCACAGGTGGTCCCGGGTTTGATTCCAGTGTTGGCTAAATACATGTACCTCATAATTTTTCTGTTTTTAATCGTATGTTAGTAAATAATATGTTAGCAGGTGTATTACATACCTTTAATTATATATTAATCAGATTATTGACAAAATCAGTATGTGTTAACCAGATTATCTATAATAGGCACATTCATCACGATTTTTAATCCTTCAATATCTATTATTTATATATCACATAAGAACATGTTAGCACAGAGAAATGTGGTTAATGCTTCATCAAATATACATGTACATTGTAATATCATTATCAGCGGTTTTAGCGAAAGGTATTAAGCTATACGATGAAGCTCTTGCCTCTCAGTGGTGCAGGACAGAGGGCCTGACAAGGATAGCTGTTTAGTTTTTTGGGTTGTACAAAAAACCAAGGTAGCCTGTACACATTGGCGTGCATGTAAAAGATCCCTTGGCAGTTGGAATTTGATGCAAGAGTAGGCCGTAGCGCCGCTGTCCGGACAAAATTCCCCTTATACATTGTAGCACACTGCATGGCACCTGCCCGTCTTTTGGAGCAGAACAGTAGAACATTAAACCCCATTCCATTTCATTTTATGTACTTGTTGTGTTATAAGGTTAAATTGTTTGAATTTTTAATTCCATGGCATGTAATTCTCTAGCTGGTCATTTTCGTCATCAAAACTGCCAAATATGACTGAAATGGGAGCTGAGGCTCCGAGTTCACAAAGCTTTCTCAGACTTAAGTTAAGAATTTAATCAAAATTGTTCGCCTTATTTTAATTAAAATATAGCCCTTTATAAAACTTTTGTTGTTTTAATGTATCAAATACATCAATAAGAAACTATGTGTAAATTTTTGTTTTTCTGGATTAAAGATATTTCTTACATGTATGAACTTAAGTCTGAGAATGCTTTGTGAACTCTGGACGTGCTTTACAGGTTTTAATTAATAGCAAACCATGATAAACTTGACCAACTTTGTCATAAAAAAAAATATCATGGACTGTAATTCCTCAAAGCTCCTTCACAAATACCTGTAGCAAAGCACTAAAATGATGAAAAAAAACCCATCACAGGAAATGGAAAACTGTCTTTGGCAAGCGATTTCCTGTTTCTTTTCAGATTGTCTTTTAAGCTTGCTTGTCTTTTAACCGTTCCTAGTATTGTAATACTGTAGAGGTTTGATCACATGTTCGCACACTGGTGCCTCAGATTTTCAAA